TGCTTGGATTCTTTGGCCTCCTTACGCTCACTTGACTAGACTGTATAAATGCAATCAGTAAATGATGCTGTGATGCACTCTTATAGCCAGGGATAGTCCATCTGAGCCCTGGTTGCTCCTTAGCCAGTGAGATGACCCATCAAATTTGATGAAGACATTCACACACAATTGTTTCAGCACCTTACTGGTTTAAAATTATGTGCCTCAGTCTTTATATATTGCTCATCTGATTTCGGCTTTCTGAGCGAAATGATGAATACTAAGAGTATTACTTTCCCCACTCAGAATCCTTTACATACTTGCATGCAGCTTATTTTGTCATCTGACGTCACTTATTTACGTATCTTTACAACAGGCAATGCAAACAATGCAAATCTTCATCCATCTGTTCACAGCCTCCATTTTCTTCTGGTCCTCCACATCAGCCCTCCTTCCTGCTCCTTGCCATTCTCTCACAGAGCTGTTCCACCAGCTTCACTACTCCCAGCATCCTTTTTTTTGGCAAAAGCAGTGCAAGATGGAGAAATGCACATACCATCAGTGTTTATCCTGTTTCTATTGTCTGTGCCTATATTTTACAGCTTACCTTGGAGAGCTACAAACCACTTGAAGAGTTCTAAGAAGACTTTCAAATGCAGAGAGAAAAGAGTGGTCTGCAGAGCTCTCCCTGTGCTGAGGCTGCCCCAACAAGCATCAGTGCAGAAGATGTGCAGAACTGGATGCAGCTATCCCCAACCTTCCTTTCCAGGGAAGTTTCACCTGAAGAAAGCAGACTGATAGAAGATTCTGAAAAGCTACGAGCAATGTAATATGGTTAAGGGCCCTATAGGCAAGGAAGAATGCCCCTGGTGCCCTGCTGGTTTGAGCACTTAGATAAGCCCCTCCTGTATTATACAGCCATGTTACATGATGTACTGAAGGAGAAAGAAACAGCTGGAAAAGAACCTGCCTATGAACTTTGCTCCTTCCTTTGGGAAGGCTTGGTCAGGCTGCACACAGCATGGGTTAAAGAAAGGCATGTTAGTCCAGTCCTTCAAGCTTCATAGAAAACTTAGTAGAATTTTAAAAAAATTTAAAAAAAAACAAAACAAAACAAAACAAAAAAAACCAACAACTTAGAATTTGCGAGAGAAAAAATTGTGTGGGACTAGCTGGAATAAGAAAGAATGACGTATAATACCCAAGCATTTCCTTAATAAAAGCTTCCAATGAACAAACCCTTCAGACTCCCAAAAGACACCTTCAAGTATCTGTATCTTACTAGGCATTGGCATTTCAACGTTTAGTACTGCAGTCACACTACTATATTGCAAGCATGAGTCAATGCCTGCACCTTCTGGCTCCATAAGAAAGGGACTGTTCTGATCTTTACTTATAAGCTGGGCAAGTCGGGGGAGAGGCATTCAGTTACAGGCAAGGCACACGCTGCTCTACGAGGCCAGGTGGGCTGGCTAACACATGGGCACATTGTGCCCTAGTGTACTGAGTCCTAAGGACCACAACCCACCTCTGCAACTTTTCATGTAAGGCCTCAGAAAAAGGCTTTGTAGATAATTTTTGATGCCTTCCAGCACAAAGCCGTCAATCTCCACATCAATCATGACTGACTTCCAGCTCTGTATAGAACATTATGGTTCAAACTGGGAGTTTCTGGCGAGAAACCCTTGTGAATATGCACACAATATAAAATGGGAAGAAGGGTTTCAGTTTATCTGCACTCACTTGGGCTTGTTTGTTGCTTGGGAAAAAAAAAAAAAAACTGGCAGGCTTCCCACCACTATGCAATAGTCTAGGAAGGCTCCTGTCACCTGGGGACTCACATGCTGATGTGCGAGTGAAGAGAGCAGTAGCCAGGATTCATGGGGCTTCAGCATGATCCTAATAAACTCTGTCATGCTATGAGTGTTAAGACAGGCGCGCTGAAGAGAAACTGCCATGAGAACTACTGACAGCTTCTTTCCAAAAGCTAAAACCCATCATTTTCATGAGCTGCTCCTTTGCACCAAAGCACGGACTGGATTTCCAAAGGTTTGTGTCAGGTTTCACACAGTATTTACCAGGCTCTTAAATTTATTCTGCACTCAAATCCAGCTTCCTTGATAAAGGCAGATAACATTAGTTTCTATGAAATACCACATCATCTCATAACCCACACAAAGCTTTGGCCCGAGGATTTCCAGACAGACACAGTTCATCCAAAGCAACTGAAGGTAGCTGGGGGGTCATGGGATCAAGTCACATATGCATTTCCTTTCTTCTCTGGCATCCCTCTGGTTAAGCTTGTGCTCCTGAATTGTTTACCCTATTGCAAAAGAGCAAGTAAATGTTTTGGGCTCAGGAGATATCTGAAGAAGCAAGCTTATTTTACCTTTCTCAGTTTGCCTTTAGAAACTCAGCATCCTGTAGGAAAGAGAAGTAGCAGAACATCTCAGAATTGTAGTTTTGGAGAAAAAAGCATCAATTGTCATTCATACAGAAAATTTCCAACTACTGCTGTCTCTTGACGAAAGAACAAGCACTGCAGTCCTTTTTCACAGCTGACAAAACAGATGTGGATTAAGTGATTGCTAAGCATGATTTACTAAGTTAGCAGCACAAGTAGTAACAGAGCCCTAGACTTCCAACCTCGTGCTTCAGCTTCTGGGACATGCTTTTTTAGTAGTTTTAACAACTAGTTTTCCTGAGTTCCTGGAATATATCTCTTTCTACACTAACAATGGGTAGATTTTGTGTCTCTAAAAATTAATAAAGACTTACATCAAACATTGACTAAAATGAGTACTGCTCATTAATACCTTTGCTACTGGTAAAGGAAAAAGAAGACAGTGTTTATAGAGACAAATACCAGCAGCTAAACCTTTATTGCTCTCTCTGCTTCTGAGGTCATTCAGGAGTAGGACAGTGGGACAAAAATAATTATAGGGGTCTTTCTACACAAAAGAGCCAGCTATTTAGAGGCAGGCAAAGTCATTTGAATGTCAATGAAATAACCATTAGAAGGCTGAGAAGCATTGCCATTTATTAAAGGGCCGAAAGAATAGTTGCATGCACTATAGCAATCTTCTAGGTAGGAGTTGTTAATTTGGTACAAAACCTATTAGGGACAGGGCAGAGCATAATTAAACAGGAGACAGTACATGCTGTGAAAAGGAAACTGGGTTTGGAATTTTACAGCCTCTTATTTCACATTTGTAGGTGAAATACTACGCTCTAGGATCTCTCCACAGTAACATCCGTGTATCTCTGGCTCCCAGTGTACCGCAGTTCATTTCTAGCAGTGGTCTCCTACAGCCTAACGAGGAAAGGTAAAACAAGGTTACCACTTGAATGCCCTCCCACT